TTCCAGGAAGTCAAATGGACTCACCGCCCTTATCAAAACTCTCGCCAACGATAGGTCTGACTTGTTTTTTGAGGATTCTTTAATGCAAATGAATTTCCCCCATTTCTGAACAAGTTTCTCCAGAAACTCCCCGTTCCAGCACAATAACGGCAATCCCACTAATTCCACCAGGCAGAACGCCAATGGCACTCCCTCTTCATTCAGCAATGGAGCCATCCAGCCAAACTAATAAAACAGATCCTCTTGTTTTTGTGCCCATACTTCGGAGTACTCTTCAATCGAATTAATCGTAACGACACAAGCATTCCATGCATAACCCCATCTCGCTATTTTGACATGCATACCTTCATTCTCCAAAGCTTTTTGCACAAAATCCTGCTTGAATGAAAGCTTGATTACCCCTGTAAAGGGCCTTTTAACCCAGTCCGAATCCTCCTTAGGAATGTGCATCTCCCAAACAATCCTTAACCCATTTGCAGACTTCATTGTTCTGTCTCTAACTCCCTCGGTAACATTTTCACTCTCCTTTCTATTAATAGTTTCCACCACCTCCTTGTATGATCTACTATCCCTCAAATTACCCAAAGATCCAACATGATTCTGTCCTTTTGTTTTCTCCACCCTTAATGCCTTTGAACCGATCCTCTCATTCCTACCTTCAGAAGATTCTCCATCCCGACTTTTTCGATATTTTTCTATCCCTATTGTAACCCTTTTCCCGTCAATCCAAGTTCCATCTACATACTGTATAGCCCTCCTTCTCCCTTCCTCACTTGCAAACTGAACAAACGCAAAGGTAGAATTTGTATACTTTGGCTTCATAGTAAACTTTGGAATGAAAATCCTCACAACTTGACCATAATGATGAAATATTTCCCTTAAGTTTTCCTCTTGAAACCCTCTTACTAAGATTATCAACGAAAATCGTCCAGCTCTCCCCAACAGAAGAATGTCCTAACACTATTTCTCTCTCTAAGTTTTTGACTCTCTCACATGTTTTTTTTCTAGTTTTATTAATTTATTGAGAATTTCCGATCATGTTGAACTGGGTTCTTGGCAATTTGAATAGCAGATTGATTATCACACAAGACTTCAAAGTGATCCTCTTGATTAGTGCCAAGTTCTTTCAGTAGTTTAAGTAGCCAAATTCCTTCGCATATTCCCAATGCTAGTGCTCTGAATTCAGCTTCAGCACTACTTCTTGAAACGATATATTGTTTCTTACTTATCCAAGTTGTAAGGTTACTCCAAACAAATGTGTTGTAGCCACTAGTGGATCTCCTTTCAGTAAGGTCTCCGGCCCAACTAGAGTCTGTAAAAATTTTAACAGTTCTGTCTTGTGTCTTCTTAAACATTAAGCCGTGTCCTGGAGTTTTCTTCAAGTACTTGAGAATTCTATTTGCTGCTGCCATATGCTCTTCAGTAGGATTAGTCATGTGTTGACTCATCACATTTACGGGAAAGGTTATATCTGGCCTTGTCAAGGATAAATAAATTAGTTTCCCAACTAATCTTTGAAATTTCTCTTTGTCTACTAAGGACCCATCTTCTTTGTTAAATTTCAAGCTTGCCTCCATTGGTGTATCAATCGGCTTACAACCAAGAAAACCAGTTTCTTTGAGTAAATCAAGTACATATTTTCTTTGGTTGATTACAAGTCCTTTTGACCTTGCCACCTCCATTCCTACGAAATACCTTAGCTTTCCCAAGTCCTTGGATTCGAATTCCTCATTTAACAGCTTCTTCAAATTGCAAATCTCTTCTTCATCAGCTCCGGTAAGAATTATGCCGTCCACGTACACAATAATGATAGCTTTCTTATTTGTAGAAGTTACCTTGATGAAAAGAGTATGATCGGCGAGGGACTGCTTGTAGCCGTTTTTCATAATGACTTTAGTGAACCTCTCGAACCAAGCTCTGGGTGATTGTTTTAATCTGTATAGAGACTTGTTGAGCTTGCAAACCTTGTTACTTCCTTTAACAGACTTTAAGCTAGGTGGCAACTTCATATAGACTTCTTTTTCTAGGTTGCCATTAAGAAAAGCGTTTTTTACATCAAGTTGGTGTAATTTTCAATCTCAATTTACAGCCAAACTTAGGAGTACTCGAACAGTATTCAGCTTCGCCACAGGTGCAAAAGTTTTTGTGAAATCTATCCCGTATGTTTGCGTAAAGCCTCTGGCCACTAGTCTAGCTTTGTATCGTTGAATACTACCATTGGAGTTATACTTTACAGCAAAGATCCATTTACAGCCAACAACCTTTTTTTCTTTGAGGAAGGTCTGTAACGGTCCAAGTAGCATTTTTCTCTAGTGCACAAATTTCCACTTCAACAACCCTTTTCCATTTTGAATCCTTTAGAGCTTCAGCTATGCTTGTGGGAACCTGTTCTTTATCCAAGTTTGTTGTAAATGCTTGAAAAGATGGCATCAATGAATTATACCCAGCAAATTTTTCAATAGGATGTTTGGTGCACTGTCTAACCCCTTTTCTAATAGCAATAGGGAAGTCATCTAGAGTAGGGGAAGTGGACTTACTGATTTCTTCTTCTATTTCGACAGCTGGACCCAAATCCAATTCTCGGCAAGCATCAGATTGCAAAACAGCCTCAGGAATATGTTTGTTTTTCCTTGTATAGACACGAAGTTGTTTGATTGGTGATGTTTGTAGAAGATTTTGAAAGGGAGTAGGTTTGTTTTCAGGAAGGGTGTTTAAAGTAGGTGTGGGTGAAGTAGTGATATGTACTACAGATGAATCAATGGCAGTAGTTACAGGTGACAAATCTGTAGGTAAAGACAAAATCGGTGGCAATTCTGAAGGTTGAGAATGAAGAGTAGGAGGAGATACCTGATGTGGCTGAAAATCCTTCCATGTTTCCCCCTGAATTTCAGCCTGAGTGAAATAAGGATCCTGCTCATAAAATGTTATATCCATAGTGGTAAAATATCGTTTAGAAGGAGAATGATAGCATTTATAACCCTTCTTAAGTGAAGAATACCCAACCAGTACACACTTTAATGATTTAGGATCTAACTTGGACTTATTAGGAGTAATGTTTTGGATGAAAACAGTACAACCAAATATTTTAAGTGGAAGAATGGAGGAGATAGGTTTAAAATGGGGAAAGTATTGCAAAAATATAGATTGAGGTGTTTGAAATTGTAAAACCATACTATGCATTCGATTGATTAAATATGTGGCAGTTAATAAGGCTTCCCCCTACAAATATTTTGAAACATTAGTGGTAAATAGAAGAGAACGGGTAACATCAAGGAGGTGTCTTTTTTCTTTCGGCAATGTCGTTTTGTTGTGGGGTGTCAACACAAGAACTAATCTGAACTATGTCATTTTCCCTGAAAAACGCACCCAAAGACTTAGCAAAAAATTCACTGCCATTATCAGATTTAAAGAGCTAAATTCTATACCCAAATTGAGTGAGAACCATGTTATAAAATTGGGTAAAAACAACAGCAGTTTCAGATTTATCTTTTAGCAAATAATTCCAAGTTATCTTACTGTGATCATCAATGAAAGTGATCGACCACTTACAATTATCAGCATTCTTCACCCGAGAAGGTCCCCAAATATCACTGTGGATCAAAGCAAAAGGGTGAGAAGGCTTATATGTAGAAGGAGAATAAGTTGATTTAGTATGTTAGGCAAGAGAGCAAACTTTGCAAGAAAAAGAATTTGGCCTTTTATGAATAAATAGAGCAGGAAAAACTTTTGCAAGATAGTGGAAACTATGATGACCTAAACGATAATGTCATAACATAACATTATCAACTTTTTCTAAAGCGGTGAAAGATTTCGAGATTTTGGTTTTAGTAGAGGCAGGAAGAATATAGAGACCATTCTGCAAGCTGGCCTTACCAATCATCTTCTTCGAGTTCAGTGCTTGCAAAGTACAATCAATATCATTAAAAATTGCAGAGCAGTGCAAGTCGGTGGAAAGTTTACTAACGGAAACGAGATTGCAAGCTAGATTTACGAAGAGGGCATTTTTAAGTACAATCTGGTCATTGAGAATAACAGTGTCATGTCCTTCTATTTTGCACAAGGAACCATCGGCTGTTTTGACAGCTTTACCAAAATTTGGAAAAAATTGCAAAACAAATCTTTATTACCAGTCATATGATCCGTAGCACCAGAATCGAGGATCCAATTAGGGGTCAAGTGGGAGGAGAAAAAAACTGTACATGAGGTTTACCTTCTGGTTCTTTCATGACCAGATTACCTTCTGATTAAGCAGCAGAACCAGAAAAATTTTCTGGATTCGAAGTGATCTCCGGAGTAGGAGAAGAAGTTGTGGACATCGTCTAGGTTGGAAAGAAACCGTAACCTAATCTGATACCATGTAGAAATCAGAGTAATTCTCTGTATTTTCATAATATTTTCAATAGGACAGATTACATATTTATATACAAATTATCTCTCTAAAGTAGGAAACACTTGAGAAAGGAAAAATATTAATCTTAGGATGTGATCCCTTAAAATAAGGGATTGTATAAATATATGTACAAAATCCCTTAATTAAAGGAATGATATCAAATCATAACAAATCATATCTCTATAATTCCAACACTTTTAGTTATTCTCTGCTTGGGTACCAAATTGAAAAATCTCATAAGCATATTTTCATCAAACAATGATGTGGCTTGTTTGATATCTGAATTTAGGGTATATGAAAATTGAAATGAAGTAATATGTTAATTCCATTGAGAATTGAGATTCTTAACAAACTGTGTTGCCTTTTGTTTGGAAATTGAAATGAAGTAATATGTTAATTCCATTGAGATCCTTGACAAACTGTGTAGCCTTTTGATATTCATGATTTCTGCTACCCTTTATATCATATTTTTCTCCCTTGCAAAAGGAAAGCAAAACTAAAGGGCTTGCCATTGTGTTTTCAATGATTGCACTTACAAAGATGCACTTTTTTTTTCCCTGAATCTTGATTTATTAATTTTCTTTTTATTTAATCATGTGTTATGCATCAGCATCGAATGGCGGGATTAGCAGCCATTGAAATTGCGCAGAAGGTGTCAAAAACATGGCGGTCTTTGCATGCGGATTGGAAGCATTCTAATAGAAGCACGAAAAGTGGTAAGAGGCACCGAAGAAAGGAAAGAACCAGTTTAGCTAGCCAGAACAGAGGTGGTGCTGGTTGTAGTACAAGCAGTTCCTCAGAAACATCTGCTTCATATGGCAGTACTGAAGATAGATCATCTAGCCGTCCTATGATGTCATGGCAAGATGTTTATTCAATAGCTGTCAAATGGAGACAAATTTCTGAGCCTTGTGATCCAGTTGTGTGGGTTAACAAGTTGAGGTCTGCTATCTTTTAATCTTTAATCTACATTTACCAAGATGCCTTAAATGTTCAATGTTTACTTTTTGAGATTTCTTTATTTTCTATCTATTATGGATTTGGAGCCCGACATGTGCAAATTTGTAAACTAATTTTTCAGGATTCGCTTTGGGTAAAATCTTTTCTGCTTTTTATTGGTTCTTCAAAGGGTGTTTTAAATGTTCGTTTCTTTGTTTTGTGTTTGGTTTTCCCCCCAACTGTGCCAACAAGTCTCATTAGGTCATACAATTACAATAACTGAATTTTCATTTACCGCAAAACAGGTTGGGTTCAATTTGGAGAAATTGTCAGATCTACTCATAGGATCATAGATGTCAAATTCTCTATGTAAACCATGTAAATATATTTTATGATGCTGGAGATCTTGGGCATAGTTGTCACCATAATAGTATCTAGGATGAGTCAGATCAGCATCTTGAATAATTTCAATTTTTCCCGAGGACTTGATACTCAAATATATGATTGATTATTCAACGTCTGCTCCTTTGTTTTGTTGTTCAGTGAAGAGTTCAATTCTGGATTTGGTTCTCACACACCAATGGTACTTGGACAAGCAAAAGTTGTCCGGTACTTCCCAAATTATGAAAGGTAAGTATCTGTTTTGGTTCGTTTAAAACAGGACGTGTACAATTTCTTATTATTTGGTGACATTGCAGAACATTAGATGTAGCAAAGACTATCATGAGGAATAAACTTTCTGTGCACAACAAGTCTGATAAGCCTATTGATCTATCCAAAGAGGGGAAGTTGGAAAATGTAAGTTCTCTGAGTGGCTTAATCCTTCTATATCATTTTGCCATTGCCTTTTTTTGATATATAACATTGCTTGCAATTTGAGTATTTAAAAGATTAGTTTTATACTTTTACTTGGAAAAGTCTAAATTTAATACAAAAATCTTGGACTGATTTGAAGTCTCTAATGCTTAAATCCTTGATTTTGGATAAATAAGTAAAAAAAATAAAGAAATAAAATGTCTTATACTCTGATTAATGATATTCTCAGTAGTAATATTAGTTAGACATTGGAAAAGTAAGTATCAGAAAAATAAGTATCAGTATTCTCTATTTCAGTTTTTTGGGTAAACTACATGTTTAGTACCTAAAATATCAGTTGTATTTCGTTTTAGTACCTATCATTTGTTTCAAATCCATACCTAATATTTACATTTTGGCACTACATTTTATATTTTTTATGAGTAAATTACTTCATTCATCACTTAACTATCTTCTCACTCCTATTTTGGTCACTAAAGTTCAAAATTTTTAATTTAATTACTCAACTTTCAAATTACTCTTGTTTTAATCACTTTAAATTATTTTAGTAATAATTTTTTAGACATGACATTTTTATTATTATTTTATTAATATATAATTAAAATAAAAAATTAAATTTGAAAGTTATAGTGATTAAATTAGGAGTAATTTCGTTAAGTAATTAAATTAAACTTCAGTAACCAAAATAGGAGTGAGAAGATAGTTGAGTGATGAATGATTCAATTTACCCACAAAAAAGGTGTCATGTACAACAGCCCCGTTAAGTTTTTAAGGCAAGGTACTAAAATGAAACAAAAGGTAGACGTTAGGTATGGTTTTGAAATAACTGAAAGTTAAGGTACTAAAACGAAATAAAACTGATTGTTTAGGTACTAAATGTGTAGTTTACCCCAGGCTTTTTAATGTTCTGTTCCTGAAATTTAGATTTTTTCAAAATTCTGACATTTTTTCTTATCGAATAGACGGTTTTGCACAATATGCACAAAAGATGCAGAATTGTTTAATCCAAGATTAAGCTAATTAGTAGAAATGGTTACAAAAAGAATGGAGTATGCATTAAGATTAAATTTTTTTCCCATCCTTATCTAGTTCCATCCTTGTTTGTTCTGGCTGTTTTTGAAGTGCAATTAGTTTTTTATTAAATATCTGCCTTTGTATCTGAAATTTTCATGTATGTAGAAATATTAATATGTTCTTTTCAGATTGATCATGCCAAATCTTGTGATGATCTATATGAACTTGTGGGTGAGGATTTCTGGTTGGCTACCTGGTGCAACAGTACAGCCTTTGAGGGGTAAAACTTTGAAGATCTAAAAAGGATGATATCTTTAAATATAAAGAAATATAATGTTTCTTTTCATGGCATAATGCCTTTTACTTTATTTCAGGAAGCAACTTGAAGGGACTAGAATTACCATGGTGAAAATGTTAGTTTGTGCCAAATTCTTTATTTTTTCTCTGGAAAGAAGTTTTTTATTATAGCTTCTTTTTTTTAAAATAACTTTTCTAATTGAAAAACATTCAATGATCCTAATGATTTTGATAGGGGACAGCAGCGTGGATATGACTTTGCAATCAGAACACCTTGCACACCCTCCAGATGGGAGGAATTTGATGCTGAAATGACCATGGCATGGGAAGTAAGTTTCTCTTATCTTAAAACATGTGTCAATAATCTATAATTATTTCCCAATTTTAGTCTTTCCATGCTCTTTTTTGCATAGGATGTTGTCATCTTCCATGTTTGCTCTCTGACATTCTACAATAATTTCTTTCTGGTTTTCCATTTTAGCAGATATATAAATGCCCCGAATATATATCTTGCTGTCCCCCCTCGAAAAGTACATATAACTTGCTTTTTATTGCTGTGATAAAGCTTTGAAATTCCAGATAAAATGCGGGAACCAGCCAAAATTTCTAATTGGCTTCTTACGGTCTTAATAAATATTCTTTATTTTCTGTTTTCTGATTGACTGTGACATTTGAATTTACTAACTTATGGATTTGCAGGCTATTTGCAATGCTTATTGTGGTGAAATTTATGGGTCCACTGATTTCAATGCCCTTGATAGTGTGAGAGAAGCTATTTTAAGAATGACTTATTACTGGTAGGGCATGCTATCGGACTGCAAATGGTTGGTTTATTTTTGGAGGAACTCAATATTTTAATGCAAATAATGCTTGATTGCTTGTCAGGTACAATTTCATGCCGCTCTCAAGGGGCACGGCAGCAGTCGGCTTTGTTGTTTTGCTCGGTATGCTTCTTGCTGCTAATATGGAGTTTGCGGGCAACATTCCGAAAGGTGTGCAGGTTGATTGGGAAGCCATTCTCAACTTCAATTCCAACTCCTTTGTGGATTCTATTAAGAGTTGGCTATATCCATCCCTAAAGATTAGCACGTTGTTGAAAGATTTTCCCGATGTGGCCTCAACTCTTGCAACAACAGGATCAGTTGTTGCGGCTCTCAGCTCATATGATGATTGAACTCTTAACCTAAACCAGGTGGGTCACTTCTTACAAGTGATTGAAAATGTATAATCTCATCCTCTCTTTCGTCATCTTTTTATCGATCGTCTTAAATGCCAAAATTAGGCCTACTGAGCTTGGGCAACTATAATTAAATAATTTGAAGTGAATTCTTATTCTATAGTTATAGACTCGAAGTCAACTAGATTTGTCAGGTACCGGTGTCATGTGTTAAATGTATTTGGATGGTTCATGTATTCATGTAGTTCTAGTATTGTGTTTCATGTGTTCTAGTTTTTTTTTTTTTTATTGTAACTGTATCATGTTCTTAATAGATCTCTTGGGGGTCATAAACTAACTTTGAAAATCTAAACTTTGTTGCTGAGCTATTGCCACTGCAGTTGCTGTTTTATTGGGTGGTTTTTGTTTTCTGCATGTATCGTCGATGACTGCACGACTATGGTCATTCGGAAGGGCTAGATTTCTTTGTTTCTACACTGTCTTGAGTTTTCTTTTATTTATGATGATGGTGATTATTACGACGAGCTTGTAATCTAAAATTCTCAACAATGAGGTTCGTTTAGTCTTTGAAGAAGATATTATTTTGTGCCCCAAATAAACAATCAGTTGAATGCTTTGAAAAGGTTATTTATCATTTTTTTCTTCAAGGGGTTCTCTTCATAACAGCGGTTATGCTGTTTTGTCAACATTAAATTTGTTTTAGATTTTGGCTAATGTTATTGTAATTTAGGTAATAAAATTAGCAGGAATTAGGTTAGTGGGTTGGGTACGATATCTAACTCATATAATCTAAGATTCGTTGATACCAAATTTTCTTAATGTCAAAGATTGTTCTTAGATATTCTTTCCAAGTTTTTAAAATATATTGTTTTTGTTAGGACTTACCAGTTTTTAAAATTAGCAGGAATATATTGTTTCATATAATCTGTCACGTCAAATCCCTCTCGCATATAATTTTTTTAGGGTGGGTAATAGCTGGATTAATTGGCATGCAGTAAAAAAAAAAAAAGTAGCCAGGCTTAGACTATTTATCATTTGTCAATTTTTTTTATACCAACATATGAGATTTTATTATGTATTTTGTTGTGGACTTTTGATGCACATGGGGCCCTGGAGCCTTGGAGCACGTTTTCTGTAGGCGAGGAGCCCTTTATATTTAAAACTATATATCCAAACTTAATGAGTCAAGCACTTAATCTTCTTTTCGCACTATTCCTTCACCATTCTTGTTTCCAAAACACTTCAACATAGAATTAAGGTTATACTATAATAAATTAATTATTTCATTTTAAGTATTAATAATTGAATATATAAAATAATTTTAATTATCTATCTAAATTAATTATTTTATAATATGTAAATATAATAATTAATTATAATTTTAAATAAAATACTAGAACTTCTTATTATTTTATTTAAAAAGTATACAATTTGAATTTAATTAAAATTTTATATTGAATTTTCTCATTACAAGTTTTTAAAGATTTATTTTTAAAGTTGATAAAAGAATATAGTATATTACTAAAAAAATAAATGAAAATATTAATTTGTAAACAAATTTTATCAATATTATAATTATATAATATTTTAATTATAAAAAAATCATTATAATTATAAAACTAATTATTAAATAATTATAAAAATAGTTATATTTTTCCTACTTATCTATGTATTAAATATCTTAGTTATATTTTTATTCAATTTATTATACTATATCTTATCTTTGTCTATAAGATGAAAATAATAAAAAAGAGTGAGGGGCAGGGGACAGGCGGCAAGCGACAGAACTGTGTTTAGCGATTCTGACTATCGCAACGAGATTCTGACTATCGCAACGCGATGCTGACTATCGCAACGCGATGCTGACTATCACAATGCGATTTTCAAAGCGTCATTATTATCGCAACGCGTATTTTTTTTTCAAATTCCAATCAGAACACTGAACCGTCCACAGTATATCCCGTAATCGCAACTCATAATCTAAAACCCTAAATCACAACTCAGTCCCATCTCCATCTCTCACTCTCTAAGGCGACATTCGTCCCCATCTCCGACGAAATCAGTCCCCATCTCCGACGAAATCCGTCTATCTCCATCTCTCAAAGCCACCCTCACAATCATTCACGGTCAGAAATGGAAAATCAACCAAATCAATCACCGAGGATTAGTTTTTTTAATTATTTTTATTTTGAAATTTTTGCATTATTATTAGATTTTTCATATTGAAATTGATGATAAGTTTACTGGTAATTTCAATAATAGATTAACCATTTCATTTAGATTGCTTATTAAATTCATTCGATTGCTTCCAATACTGCTAAACTGTTTAGTCTTTAAACCATGTGAATTTAGTATTTGTCTTTGTTTTGTCTTTTGGTTGAAGTAATGCAATCCATTCAAGTTTCAATTTTAGTATTTGAAACCGATAATCGCAACGTAAAATGAAAATCGCAACGTAAAATGAAAATCACAACGACAGAATCGCAACGCGAAATGAAAAGCGAAACGACAGAATCGCAATGCGATTTTAGTTTCGCTTTGCGATAGTCATTTTCGTGTTGCGATTTTAAGTTTCAGAAACTATTCTTCTTCTGCAAATTGAAACTTGAATGAATTGCATTACTTCAACAAAAAAACAAAGACAAATACTAAATTCACAGTGTTGCAAATTTAAGTTTGAAGAATAAACTACTACTCTTTAGACCACAAGATATCATAAAAAGGGATAGACGTGAACAAAGCAAAAGTGAAGTGATCGAGAAGTTACTTCCACCCACCACAATGAAAGGCATTTGAAGTCTTTTGGGACATTCAGACTTCTATAAGAGATTCATAAAGGATTTCTCCAAAATCTCCAAGCCTTTATGCATTTTGCTACAACAAAACAAACCCTTCGTGTTTGACGAGAATTGCTATAGTGTATTCAAGGAGCTGAAAAAAGACTTATCTCAGCCCCAATCATTGTTCCCCTAGATTGGACTTCACCATTCAAGCTGATGTGTGATGCAAGTGACTACATAGTGTGAAAAATACTTGGGCAACGTTGAGGCAAAATATTTCATGTTATTTATTATGCTAACCATACTTTAAATGATGTACAAATTAATTACAGAACAAATAAGAAAGAATTGCTTGATGTGGAATTTTCTTTTGATAAATTTAGGACATACTTGATAGGCACTAAAGTTTTTGTACATACTGATTATTCAATTATTAAATATTTAGTGACTAAAAAGAATGTCAAACATAGACTTATTAAGTGGATACTTCTTTTGCAAGAATTTGACTTATAGGTTAAGGATAGAAAGAGCATTGATAACCAAGTTGTTTATCATCTTTCTAGGCTAGAGAACAAGGTTGAATGTGATGAAACACTAGATATCAAAGAGGAATTCCCTGATGAGAAAATATTATTTTCTGTGGTAATTTCATGGTATGTTGATATTGTTAACTTTCTTGTTAGTGGTATTTTATCTCCTAATTTGAACAACCAAGGCATGAAAAAATTTAGGCATGATGTGTGATTTTACTATTAAGACAAGCCTTGTTTGGTCAAGCAATGTGTCGATCAAATGATTAGAAGGTGTGTCCCCGAAGAGAAAAAAAAGGAGATTATATTCCATTGTCATGTAGCTCCTTGTGGAGGACATTTTGGAGGGGTAAGGATTATTGCAAAGGTCCCACAATCTAGATTTTATTGGCCCACACTCTTCAAGGATGCACATGGATCTATTAAATGTTTGTGATATATGTCAAATAACTAGAAACATCTTTAGGAGACATTAAATGTCATTGCAAAATATCCTGGAAGTGGAACTTTCCGACATATGAGGGATAGACTTCATGGGACTCTTTCCTTATTCATTTGTAATTTTTACGTTTTACATATATTATATAATTAGTTTTAAATATTTAGTAAGTTGTAATTTTTAATTTTGTAAATTGTGGAATTATTTTTGTCATTCAATGTGATATTTTCAATTCTAGTTTAACGTTTGAGTCGTGTTGAGGGTGTTATTTGTAGGGATGTGAAATTAGGTAATCATTTAGGTTTTAGTGGGACCCTGTCAGGTCATGTCTAATTGGATACAAGTCATGTCAAGTTACTTTTATGGTTTGAATTAGATGAGGTTGGGTTTGAGTCAAAACAATTCGGGCCACTTTCAAGTTAATTTGACATCAAATTCAGTTCGAGTTTGGACCGGGTTAATTTTAATTTAGATCGATGTCAGTCTAGGTCAAAACTATTCAGGTTTGAAATAGTTAAATTCTAGGTTAATTTAGGTTCGGGCATACTTCAGTTAGATCTTGTTCTGATCGGGTTACGTCATTGATAGACAAAATTCAGGTCAGATATTACTGGGTATGGATTGAGTTTAGGTCTGGCCATTTTTGGGTTAATTATTTTTCTTCTTTCATGAATGAGGAATTGTAATTTGTAATCGTATATAATTTGGAGTAAATTACAAAAAAATATAAATAATTATGGGTCAATTTTAATAAAAATATAATTTTAAGGACTAAATTGAATAAACATGAAATTACAAATTGAAATTTAAATAAATTAAACAACACACATGGATGAGGGATCAAATTGAAATGATTATAAAATGTTAAGTTGAAATTAATATGAAAATTAACTGATTTGAATCCATTTAAAAAGTTTATGAAAAAAAAATTATAAGCTTTTGATATTATAGTATAATTTTAAGGACTAAATTGATTAAACATGAAATTAAAAAATATAATTCAAATAAATTAAACAACATGCAAGGATAAAATTAAAAAAACTATAATATATATATATATGATAATGATGATGAATGTTATGATACATGTATATATATAATGTACGTTATACTTATGCAACCATTATACTTATAACACACACCCATATATATATATATATATATTAAACTATATATATATCATATATGTATATGTTATAATATATATATATCATATATGTATATGTATATGTATATATATATATATATATATATATATATATGTTATACATGTAAATATATATGTAATTATGTATGATCGATAATGGATGTATATATATTTATTTTTTTATGTCATAATTTATTTTAAAAAAAATAAAAGAAAAAACTATATATATATATATACCTCTATGTTATACTTATATACTTATGCATAAACATGTATACATATATATAATTTTAATATATAAGCATATATAAGTATGTATATATGTTG